TTATCAAAGTAAAATTTTTGGTTCACTTGATTAATTTTATAAAAATCTATTACACTACTGTTAATTTTAAAACACTAACTTGAACAAATTTATATCAAAAAAGTAGTTCAAATCATAATTTGATCCAAAATTTTGGTCTCATTCTGATCCACAATTTGGTATCAATTTGATACTTTCTAAAAAATTGTGATAATAATTATAAATTAAGTGCAATATGTTATTCATTTTTAAACAAATGAAATAATGAAAAAAAATAAGTTAAATTTAAAAAAAGAATAAACAAACTGTTTTATAAAAACGAATATAATTATTATTCAAACAAACATATTTCTATATGTGAATTCAATGACGAGTGGACGGTAATTAATAATTCAATATTGAATATTCGTTAATAATTAACATCATCGAAATCATTGGATTATTATATATACGTCACTGTCAATTCTATATAATTAACCCTTTTCGTAAAATTTGTTTGCAGCTTCTAAAACATTTATAAATTTATTTACAGAAATTTAAAATACTCTTCGTTCTCAGTTTTCTTTCATTTTTTAAAAAATTTTTATAATTTAAAATTTAATTGAATTTAAATATTAATATTATATCCAATGTACTAAACGCTCAAGAAAAAAATTTATTAAATTCAAATAACAGATTACTTGTCTGTTATCAAATAATTATTTGATTCAATCACCTAATTTTTATTTGAATTCAAATAAATATTTGATTCATTTAACTAATTTTTATTTGAATCAAATAAATTGTATCTCTTTGATAATTTGTTTCTAAGAAGATGGAATTTTATAAATCTTTGCATCAAAGGGGTATCTGATCACGAATCTAAAGTCTGTTTTAAAACTTTTAAAATGAAAAATCTAATATGGCGCTTTAATTTAAAAAAATTTTTTAATTACTTTGATGAATTGTTTCTAAAATAATGCAATTTTTTTAATTTTCGTATCAAAAAGTTTTTTAGGTCGCTGATTACGAATCTAAAGTCTTTTTTAAAAAATTCAAAATAGAGGATCCAATATGTCGATTAATTTTTTAAAAAAATTCTAATTTTTTTGATAATTTGTCTTTAAAATAATGAAATATTATAAATCTTTGTATCAAAATGTTTCTTAGGTCGCTGATTAAGAATATAAAGTCTGTTTTAAAAAATTCAAAATGGCGGATCTAATATGGCGTAAGCTGTGAGAGATTAATTTATTATATCTTTTATTATTGCGAGGCAATATTGTCTGTTAAATATTAAACTATGTGGGTCAATTTTTTTACAGTTTTAAAAAGTTCATTCTACTTTCAATAAAATTGAACAAAAATCAAAATTGTATAAAATAAATATATAGAAAATAATAATGAAAAATTGTTTCAAATAAAAATTGTGGAATTAGATATACATATATATGCAATCACCGCGACTAAAAAATAAATCAAAAATACAAATCGAACTAGTACCGGATGTATTATTCGAAATTTGAAATTCAGAGATGATCTTGTTGCGAGTGTAGTATGTGCATTAGTATATACGAAGTCGATAATGGACCCACCGCGTATAGGCATTAAAATTGATAAAATATTGCAACCACAATGGCAATCGTATATAGATATAGATATATATTTTATATATATGTACATACGAGAAGAGACATGTTGAATAAATATATATATACATATATAGAAATTTCCGTATTTCGTGCACATTGCAAATCGCATGCATCGATTCGCCCGGATGACGGAGCCAGTTAGGCAATATAATGCAGGGGTATTGCAAAATACTTGTATGTTGTGTGTTACTACTATATATATTTCTATTGAATCGCGAGCTTACAAATATAAATACACACTCACTCTCTCTCGTTATTTATTCGCGGAAAATAATGCCAAATATTCCCTTGCTTTGCTTTTGCCTGTTTTATATATATACATATTATGCGGATGTCACGTGAAAATGTTTGCTAACAGGTTTTCCATTTTGTTCACACGATAAAACGGATTTACATACATCACTTGTTTATATCATTATTTAAATTATTTCCTAAAATTACATTACTGGGAAAAACCTCACATATACATTATTATCTATGCCATTATTAACTCAGAACAGTTATTTTTTTACTAAATGTATTGTTATTTTTATTATTCAGAGAAGATTTAAAAATATCTTTCTTAGTGAAGCATTTATTAAAAAAAAATAATTCGAAATTAACTAAATTAATTAAAGTTTATTAATAAGATGAATAATTATCCAGAAGAATTTTTTAAAATCAATAAATATTTAAAATAACGTAAATTTCGATTGTTTTTTATCTAAAATAGCCGATTCATTAATTTAACGAGGAGTAAATAATTCGTATTTAAATATAAATGACACTTGAGGGTGTAAGTGAGCACGTGATCTCATATTGTAAATATTTCGCTCGTGTGCCTTTAGGCGACATACTGTGGCTTTTTCAAGGGCTCTCTCTATCTCTCTTTTCCCTCTTTCGCGGTTCAAATAAATCAGAAACAAATTTCAACTTAAATCTCGAGTACGAATTCCCCGACGTGGCCGAAGGTACAACTACCCCGTCGTCGTTGTCGTCGTCGCACACACCACACATATATACAGTATATACAACAAGCAATTGTATATTCAGTCGTGCGTGAATTGGCGGACGTTTAGATTCAAAGTGTCCCGAAGGGTCCTCAAGGACCACTAGATGTGTCCCGTAACTATGCTCACTGAATTTGAATTTCGATAAACACCCCAGTGTATTAAGACGCGACGGGGGGAACATTATGGAAAATCGGTCAAGATTTCAAAAAACTATATCTCACACGTCAATCATTTATATTTTTACTGGGAAAACAAAAAAAAAATAATTTTTTTCGATACTCAAAAAACGAATCTTTTCGTTATTCAGTTTTTCGATTTTTACAGAAAATTTTATTTAAACAAAAACTAAAAGAAAATTAAAAATTTGACTTAGTTTTTAAAATCAAAAAGCTCCACAAAAAAAGATTGCGAAATTCGTCATTTTTACGATGAAAGAAATTCTGTTTAAGAATACGACCTTCGCGTACTCAGGATATTGGTAATAAGCGGCCAAGTGCAAACTTTAGTGATGTTTAAAAAAATGGCCAAATGGGCCCGCTATTTATAAAGACTATACAGTGGCGCTGTTTGCAGTGCGGCTCCCGGTAGCAATATACGTTCGAGGTGTCTTCCATCGTATTTCTTTGCACACGCACCAAACTTTTTCCAATCGTCGCGTGTACTTTTCTCAATACACGCACCCGTGTGCTTATATACCATCGCATGGCAATGTGCCCCGACTAATGGACGACACACTCGAGACCACTTTGGTCGCTGCAAACATTCACAGTCCTCTCTATCTCAAAAAAAAAATAAAAACCCTCATTGCAAGTGCTACCGCGCAATTATACCGTTCAACATCTTGCGTTAAATACGAAATACATCTTAAACTTTTAGACGGGAAAAAAATACAACTTTAATTTTTAATTCAATGATCCTATTAAATATGCGTTATTCTTTAGCCTTTTTTCAATTTTTTTAAATAAAATTGACTTTGGATTCGTAATCAGCGACCCCAAAAACCCCCGAGTAACAAGTATCAAGCCAATCTGAGTGTATTTATCATTTGCAGCCACCATTTTGAATTTTGCAATTCCGATGTCAGATTCGTAATTACGAATATATTGTATTTTCAGTTTGTCTAACAAAACTCTTTTAACTCACCTATTGTTAAAAAAAATCCTTTCGAATGAATTTGTCAAAGGGTAACAAGATTTGAACTCATCTGATGAACTTTTATAAAAATTTTCCGCCATATTTGATCCACCATTTTGAATTTTGCGACTCTGACTTTAGAATTTTAATCAGCTGCTCCAGAAACCTGCAAGTTATACAAGCCTTAAACGAATCTGATAAATTTTAAAATTGTTAACCATATTGGATCGGAGATTTTGAATTTTCAAAAACTGACTTCGGATTCGTAATCAGCGTCCCTAAAAACCCCAGAGTAATCAGATTCAAACGGACCTGATAAATTTAAAAAGAAATCTTCCACCATTTTGGATTTTTAAAAACTGCCTTCGAAATCGCAAGCAGAGCCCCCAAAAGCGCCGAGTAGTGAATTTCTGATAATTTTCTATATATTAACATTTGTCTAACATATTTGTTAGAGTGTGTGAAAATAATTTAACTATACATACGTCAGTGACTTTAATGAAATTTCACATCACTGAAGGACTGAATGCGCGCAAAGAGTAGATGACGAGACTTAACTCGTACGGGGTGAATTTTCGTAATGTGTGCCTATTAGCGGTAGTAAATGTCGAATTGACGATCCCCAAGGGGTAAAAGGGGGAAAATTTCGCCAGGGGGAATGGCAACCATCTTCCCGAGGGATAGGACTAGCACCTCAATCGAGAATCAGACGATCAAGTTTCGCCGGCTGCCTGACAAAACTTAACGGAGTGCCATCAGCAATGTAGTATATATGGGACTCCCGTTACTAACCTCGTCAATTGACGACCAATGAGAGCCATCGGAATTTCTCAATCCAAAATAGGGAAACTTTTTCTTTTTTTATCTAACACACAGATGTCTATATATTCTCATTTTCCAATGGGCACTGTTTCTACAAAATGAAATCCAATTCCTGAAACCACATAATATTTGTGATGGAAGAACACCTTATCAAATTTCTTACTCTCACCTCAGCACGTGAGCTTCAACACCATAAAAAATGTCTGACTATATAAAATTTTATTTTATCAATTAAGAGAACCCATTAATAAAACTAAAATTTATAGAATCCTAAAATATTGGAACAATGATTTTTATCTATAGGAGATATAAGACTTTCAGTCCCATATAACTGGATAAATTTTACCGTGAAGAAAGTTTAAAATTTAAATTAAATAATTGACTGTGTGGTCCACACTAGACAAGAATATTTTTTAAAAGTATTAATTATTTTTTCACTCACCGCATCTGCTATGTAGTGGACCATCCAACTGCTACTTTGTATTATCCTCTTCCTTAAATGAATCCGAATCCTATTTTGCTTTCACAATAATATAACACTGAAACAGAAAAAATAATCGGTTTTATTATTATTTTACAATAACTGAATTTGTACGTTTTGAAACAAAAGACACTGAATTGTTAAAAAAAATCCTAATAATTTTAATATTTTAAATATTTACTATTTGTTTAAAAGGCTGAAAATGAATATACCTACATATATACGAATTTTTATTTGGAAAATAGAAGACTTTTTAAAAACAATGTTTTGATGATATTAGTCTATGGGGTTTTATACATTTGATGAAATGGTGAGTATGATGGGTTAAAAGAGAGGAAAAAATCTATAATGACTTTATTCAATGTCACCGGGCCTGTAATTACCAACAGACTGGTGGAGGACGTATATAACCCCCTTGACGATTAGCTGCAAAGACCCCTCGGTGATTACCAAGTTAGCCTAAATAGGGTATAGTGTTTAGGGAGAGCCTACGTGGTCCTCATATTGAATCATCGATCTTGCGTAAATGTATAGAGAACATATTTATAAACCGCCTAACATATCACGATCTTATCACAGTAAATACAAAAACACCAATTTAAAAAAAAATACCGAAAATCATCAAATCAGAATTTTAAAGATTTTCAAAAATGATTGCTGATTCTAATCGATGCTCTAAATTCTCTTATTAATTAAGATTGACACTTTTGTGGTTCCTAAGTCTACATATCGATTTCAGTTTCAGATATTGTCTCGGATGTCGATAAAACCGGTTGTATTATGGAGAGGTTTTCTAATTCCCCTTTCCTCTGACTAGAAAACCGAATAGACGGATGGTACAGGCAAATGCGAGTACTCCTAATTTCAAGTCGTTTTGTAGGCGCAATAATTAGTAAAATAGTATTAAAGTTATAATTTATAAAGTAATTTCTACCGGGACACTTGTAACATTGGACTTGATTTGATTTACTGTAAACGGGACTGGCCCTCTCATACATTTCTAAAAACTGAAAGTTACTCAATTTTGTAATGTAGAGATAAAATATAAAAGTTAGGCTGACCTTATAGTGGTTTCAGTATATGGCTACTAATATGTGAATCTAGTAGCGTTGTGGCATGAAAAAATATAATTGGGGAGGTAACTAGCCTCTCTACTAAGTTTGCTGAATACTGAGTGATATCCGTAATTAGTTCTGTGATATGATTCATGAAACAGTGTATAATTTCTCGTTGCTCGCGAGTATAGGAACTGACAAGTTAATCATTGATAGTAGCCATGGGCAATAAATTTTGCCATTTAAAATTTTATATAAGAAGTTCATATCAGTAAATAGACAAATTAAATTAATTCATTACCAAGATTTGTCATGTATGGTCGTAACACTTTAGAAAATACAATGAGGTCACCTGAACTACTTTATAGAGTTAGTTCGAATTACTCAAAGATATTGACCACTAGGAGTGGTGCATCCAAGTCACAGAACTCGGATGGTGACACTGCTTCAATCTGCAAGTTAGCAGAAAATGACTTGGTACTAAGTAAATTTCATTATCTCAATCAGATTTACCCCATTGAAATGTCGATCAATAAAATCGATCGATAAAGGGAAATCTAGACAGTTGGCAGTTGGCGAGAGTATTGAATATAGTCATAGATCTAAATTACCTAATATTGCATCGCGGATTGGGAATGATATATGTAATTAAATGATCTAATGCATTGTGGATTTAAAATAATAGCTGTACCTGCACTACCTAATATTGCAATAAAGATTAGAAATACTTAATAGAACCTAAACTGTCTAATATTGCATTACATATTAGGATTGATAGCAGGAATGACATTACCTAACATTGTAGATTTGGAATATTATGCTAAAACTAAAGGATTCCATATTGCATTGCGGATTGAGAATGGAAATAGGATGTAATTAAATTATCAAATACTGAATCACAAATTGGGAATGTCAGATGAACCAAAACAACTCAAAATTACATTGAGAATAGTGAATGACAGATGGACATAAATCAGCTAATATTGTATCGCGGATCGAGATAATGAATAGATGTAATTAATTTATCTAATATTACATTGTGGTTTGGGAATGATACCTGGACTTACTCTATACTTAATATTGCACTGCGAATTGGAAATAATAGCTGGACCTAGATAACATTACAGTGCGGATTGCGATTTATTTCTGTACTGCATTTAGCTAAAATTCCATCACAGACTGGGACTTCGTCTGAACTTAAACTATCTAATATTCCATTGCGGATTGTGGATGAAAACTTAACTGATCAAAATTGCATTGTAGATTAAAAAGTTAGCTAAGGCTAAACGATTTAATACTCCATTGCAGATTGAGAATGATAGATGTAAATGATTACCCAATACTCCACTGCAAATTGGGAAGGTTGAATGGAACGAAGCTATTTAAAATTCCATTGGGGTTCGTAAATGACAGCTGGACTTAAATTGCTACGCGGATTGGGAATGTTTGCTCAACTTCCACTATGTAATGTTCTTTTGTAGTCAGAAGTAGAAAATCTGTAAGTTCAGATACCTGATTTAAATCCAAGGTTATGTGGGGTAAACCGCTCTTGTGCTGGTCCATTCACAAAAACCACTCCATTCATTAGCTGGACTTTTCTTTTTCTATGGCAACTACCGTCTGGCTTTAAACTTCGTAGGAAAAAGTCAAGGATCGTCATCTGACTGATACTATGTAATGTTGGATTGCCGATTGGGAATATTATCTGAATCAACGCACTATTCAATATTGCATTGCAGATTGAGAATGATAGATTTAATTAAATTACCTAATATTGCATCGCGAATTAGAAACATTAGATGAAACTAAATTACTCAGAATTACATTGCCTGTGAATGGACACATATTACCTAATAATGCATCGAGGATTGAGAACGTTAGCTGGACCTAAATTATCTAATATTGCATCGCGGATTGGGAAAGGTATCAGGATTTAAATTACCTGCTAATTTTGGATCATGGATTGCCAAAGTTGAATGAAGTTTAACTATACCCAAAATTATATTACAGATTGTGAATGATAGCTATAGACGTTGCTTATACTTTTCTGCCAGTGGGGCTACAGGTTTTCTATTTGGGTGATCTTACCTATATCGAATGCGACGTCCCAAAATGTAGACTATCTGTACTACAGCTAAAAGGACGTCAGACTTTTCAAAACGAGGCATTAGACGTACATCAAGGAATCTTAGAGTTTCTAAAATGTTGGTTCAAATATAAGAACCGCAATTAGTACTTTTTTGGGGAGTCTGAAATTCCGTGATTTTCTCAGTGTATCTTATCACTATTTACTAAATATTGCGTTTACAGAACGGCCTGAAATTAGAAGTACTCGCATTAGCCTGGTCTACCCGTCTATTGGGTTTGCTACCAATAGAGGAAAACTGTAGAAAGCTTCTTCTAACTACAACCCGCGGTTTTATCAACAGCCGTCGACAGCCGAATTGTAATTATGTGTACTGGACAATAATCGACAGAGAACATCATTAAAATCTGATGTCAATCCAGCTGCTTCCTTCCAACTGAGCCAGAAGTAAAATCATCAATAGGAGGAAAATTCTGGAAGCAGTTTCAAAAATCTAACCTTCTTACTTTGTCGATTTCTCTAAAAAAGCCACCATAATAAACTAATGTCGAAGAGCATATGCACAAAAGTGGGAGTTTGACAGCGCTTAAAGATCAACATGTAAATATACCAACATAACTTAAGACACACTATATATAAAAGACATAGAGAACAAGTCAGAGGGTTGAAATACGAAGAGATCGCAGGGGTAGACGATAGAGAGAGAGAGAGAGAGGGGGGGACCTCTCGTATCTGTTCACCGTTCAGAAATTCCAACCACGTGCAAGATGGCGGCTGTAGTTTGCCTCTGGCATGCACCGCCCTCCCTCTCACTCTCATTCCCTTCCTCTCTGATCCTTACTCTGAGGCAGATAGTAACATCGCGTCGGGACTTTATGTGTTGGTTAGGCGTCCCAACAGTTTGACGACATTCCCATTATACCATACACATTTATTTTACACACATACACAACTAAAGATAAATACAAGTGTGCATAAATACATACTATGCACACTTACGTTTAGCTCTATATATATATGACTGCATATAGACATTCAAGTTGAGCTTTTGGAGACGCGCCGTCGAAGTAGGAACCTCCGAAGGACGATAGCGTACAAGTAAGGGGTGAGGGTGAGTTCGTACCTATTTGCTCGTCTTTGTAAAATAAACGCCCGAGGAGACGCCCCTGAATACTAATTTCAGTCAGACTTTATAGGATACTCTATTCAACTATGATTGCAATGGGATTTAGTGGTGGGGGAGAATTGCGAATTTATAATTTTAGCACAAAAAGAAGTTATCTGACGTTTGTAAACTGATTTGGATGTTGTTGAAATTGGTTTTTTTGGAGTATTCGTAAAATATTGGTAATAATTATATCGGTCTGGGATATCAGTTCAGAGATCATCAATATAAATACTGCTTTGTCTGCAAATAACATTATAAGACGATAAAACTCCTAAACTTAAGGATGAAGATTACAGTTCTAAGCAAATCTAATCTATAACTGGTTTAAATTATAAAATGTTACCAACTAAAACTTCAGCGTCACGTCAAAAATCAGATCCGAAAGTTTTTGGGGTTTATAATTGCGAATTTGAAGTCAGATTTTAAAAATTCAAAATGGCGGATCCAAAATGGCGGACGAGAATATTAAAAACCTATCGGATTTGCTTGAAACTTATAACTCGGGGGTTTTTGGGGTTGCTGATTACAAATTTGAAGTCAGATTTTAAAAATTCTATAATGATCCAAAAGTTGAACCAAATTTATTTTCCTGTACAATTATTATTGTTTATAATAACGTACACCATTTTTGACATTATTATCGAAATAATTAAGAATTTCAATGAAAAGACTATTTTAAAAATATTTGGGGGTTAAAAATCGTATACAATTTTTTATTATCCAGATATTATAAAGTCTGCGAAAACTTT